AACCAGACATATAAACGTATTAATTGTAAAGGCATCGTTTGGATTTTTCATGCGATACATCATTTTAAAATGTAATGAAAAAATAGGCGACTGTATTTAATTAAACCTAATTTAATGTGTACACTAAAAAGGTAAACTTAATTTTTTTTCGGTGTTACTAACAATCCCCCCCCCTATGTATGGAGTTAAAAAGTAATAGTAAAATAATTGCTTAGAGCATTTTATCGGTCAATCGCCAAAATCCTTACTACACAGCGTACAGAGTCAATGACCCACATTGCGCTGTTGGGTAACGTATGTGTAAAAATAGCCGCTTCTGTTTGTTCATGAGATACTTTTTTAACCGACTTCCAAATAGGAGGTTCCTTTTTCGGTTGTATTTTTTTTATATTTGTCACCTCATACCTCCGTCAGTTTTTTTCTCTCTGTCTCCGTCAGTTACAATTTTTTTTTATTAACAGAGGTAGAAACACGAATGGGACAGAGGTACCCAAGCAATCGACTTTTGTACAAAGTCTCCCTCTGGTAAAATAATGCATTACATAATGTATCTCTTTATTTTTTCTATTTTTACGCGCGAAATCGACTCGGATTTGATCGGTTTTTATTTTATTTTTATTTTATTTTATTTATTTGGCGCACATAACAGAAGTTTACAAATACAAACTTAAACTATAACATGCAAGTATAATAATGTATTGATCAGGTAAACTTGCCACAACATGTGCGCACAGCACGATCCAATAATAAATGCGACTGCAACGAAACCATTCGGTTGCAACTATTAGTGAAAAAAATTAAACATAAAAAAGAAAGTTAAATAAAAAAAACCCAAACAAAAGTTAATTAATAAGCTTCTAAATATTATATTACATTTCTTTATATCGGTCTCAGCTCAAATGGCTTTCCATTCGTCAACGCAGAAACGTTAGAACTCTTTGTACCCTCTACACTCTTCTTCGAAACCCCCAGTCTCCTAACTACTTAAGGAGTAAATTCCATTATTTTTTGAAATTCACGAACGTAACCTTCGTTCCAATAATACTCTCCAATTATCTTTCCCCTCTCACCGTACTGGTTACGCTTCAAACTCTTTTCTCCTACATTCTTCACGACTCTGGAACGCGCTTCCTGATGCCATTAAGAGACTACCGACTAAACCATCTTTCAAAAAAAGCGTTAACGCACACTTTTTATTTTTATCCGAGCAGTAAGTACTTTATATTATTCTCAATTTCGTGTACAATATAGTATATGTCATATATGTGTAAGTATATTTGTTATTCATATATATCTATTCGTTTCTATATATAATTTTAGTATGTATGTATATCAATAATTAGTAGTACCGCATTCAAGTATTCTGACACTTGCCTATGGTTGACTGGGAGAGAATGCTTTTAGCATTAAGTCCGCCATGTACACATATTTGTACTAATGAATAAATAAATAAATATTATATTATTAAAATAATTTTATACAATTATCTGCGATACTGATTTTAACATTATAATATGTATTACGACAAAAAAAAAAATAGGATGTCAAAGTTCAGCGTGCGGTGAACGCATCCTGAACGAAATGCAACAAAAAATATGGAATTAAATGCCCAATAATGGGGCAACGAATGGACGGTTGCGTTCCACGACTAGTGTTTGAACTTGATTGGTATTTTATATCGATATTTTTTTTATTTTTTTCAATCTTTACTAACATTACAAAGAGGAAAGATTTGTATTTTTGTATATGTATGTAGGTTTGTAATGAATAAACACAAAAACTACTTTGCCGATTTCAAAAATTCTTTCACTATTAGAAAGCTACATTCACCCTGAGTAACATAGGCTATATTTATTGTTAGAAAACATTAGGGATCCTTACTAAAACTTTAGTAACGTAACTCGAGGTGTAGAAAAAGTGTAGAAAAAATTCTAGTGTTTATATACGTATTATAATGTATACACCTTAATTACCAGAGACCATTACCATACTAGTGTGGACGTAGCTTTATTACCGGCTAAATATTCGGCTAAACCCGGGTAAATCAACTCTAGAACAGGATTAATCCGGTACGTACTGGTTACGAAGTGGCGTGTGGTACAAAATAGAAACTGACGCGGCGAATACACGTATAAACGTACGCCTATTGGTCTGTCCAGAACTAATATTGTTACCACTTGTTTACTGTATCTTTTATGAAAACAAAATATGCTGAAACACATTTGTATTTTGCATTTTAAATTACAATAAATAATTCTCCAATATTGTATATATTTAGTAACTCGATTGCAATGTACAGAAAGCTAATCTACACTAATATTATAAAGAGGAAAGATTTGTATTTGTGTGTGTATGTATGTTTGTAATGAATAAACTCAAAAACTACTTTGCCGATTTCAAAAATTCTCTCACCATTAGAAGGCTACATTCAGCCCGAGTAACATAGGCTAGACATTAGGGATCCTTACTAAAACTTTAGTAACGTAACTCGAGGTGTAGAAAAAATGCTATAAAATATCTTTGGTCGCGTGCGCTGCGGAAACTATTGGTGATAGAACAAAAGTATGTTCTACAATATTGAAGAAAATATCAATAACTACAAAAAACTTCACGACACTATATGTCCAACTATTATCGTTATGTCACGATGGCCACTTTTTGAAACGTTGTAAAAATGTCCACCCGTGCGAAGCCGGGACGGGCCGCTAGTTATATATATTTTAGTAATGTATTTTATGAAACAGGATAATGTCTGTACATTTTTTTTTATACCACTGAGGTGGCAATCAAGCATACGGCCCACCTGATGGTAAGCAGTTACCGTAGCCTATGAACACCCGCAATACCAGAGGCATTACGCGCGCGTTGTACGACCCTGAAGAGACCTCTTTACCCCCCTTTTGAATAACCCCATGCTGTAGTCTTTTAAAACATCACCAAAGCCTAAGGCTTACTCTGTCTGCTGTACTGCTGACTAGTGACATTTACAGTATTATGTTAATTTTGTTTCGTAATTGGGAACTCGTTTAGTCTAATTGGATAACCCAGTTGTGGGTTAAGTTATTTTTAATTTAGTATTTAACAGATGGAGACTTTGTACAAAAGTCGTTTGCTTGGGCACCTCTGTCCCATTCGTGTTTCTACCGTGAAGCAGTTGTGTTCGCATGGCTGTGTTTCGGTTTGAAGCGTGGGATATGCCACTATAGTTCTCAGGAATGGCAACGCGTGAGGGATACCATGGGTGTCACAGTGTAACTTGAGATGTCCACAGTGCTGTTCATGTGTAGGCGACGGTTACCACTTTCCATCAGGCGCGCCGTAAGCTTCTAATAAAAAATATAATTTACAAATCCGAGCAGAAGGTACCAGGATATCATGTGTTCTAAGGAGATATTATTCAGTTAGCTCTTCCGCGGAAGCAACTTTTTAAGGAAGTAGGTTTTTAATTCAATTCTATTTTTTATTATAAAAAGACTTTGTACAAAAGTCGTTTGCTTGGGCGCCTCTGTCCCATTCGTGTTTAAACCGTGAAGCAGTTGTTTTCATAGCTGTGTTTAAATTTGAAGGGTGGGATATGGCAGTGAATTTACAGGGTACAGAGGAATAACACCTGAGTCCTCAAGAATGGCAACGCAATGGGGGTATCATGGGCGAAAGAGTATACTCTGTTACGTCCATGGTACTGCTCATGTGTAAAGGCGACGGTTACCACTGTCCATCAGGTGGGCCGTCAGCTTGTTTGCCATTCTAAGTTGCATAAAAATAATTACTTATTATATAATAAAATATTTAAAATAACAAAGATTAATACCGTATTAATGTAAATAGCTTTCCAATTACCGCTTTATAATTGTCCATTTTTTTTAAGTATTAAAATAGATATAGTATGTTATCGTTTATATATATATATATATATATATATATATATATATATATATATATATATATATATATATATATATATTTTTTCTACTTATATAAGATACGCAATTCCACTGTTATTTTGTTATATTTCTAAGGGTTGTGGCAGAGTTTTTGTTGAAAGCGTCCAAGCAGACGACTTTTGTACAAAGATGTCTGGTATATAATGGGGTAGTAAACTCTAAGAACAAGGACTTACATAGAAGGAACGATATAAATAAAAACTGTAAATCATACGGTTGCCTCCTTTCTTCTTATGCAAATATAATTAGTAAAAAGAGGACGAAAGATACACCATCTGGTTGCTATTTTTCTCAATTCATAGCAGGCTGGTGTATAGACAATGTTTGATATGTCAATTATTTGTCAATGACAAATTTTACATTACTAGAAATTAAATAAAATTAAATACACAAAATTTTCATTCCAACCATCTGGACGAGTGGCGGTCTTCCACCGTGCGTTTTTCAAGGCACTTTCTTCTACGCACAACCACTCTTTGGAATCAACTTCCAGCAGCGGTATTTCTGAACCGATACGACAACATAACCTACAAGAAAAGAGTATATTCCTTTTTAAAAGGCCGCCAGTACACCTGTAATGCCGTTGGTGTTGTGGGTGACCATGGGCGGCGGTAGTCACTTACCATCAGGTGAGCCGCATGCTCGTTTGCCCCCTGTGTTGTAAAAAAAAGATTATGTAGAAAGTATGCGAGCAGATTGTATCTGTATTTGGTAGGGTTATACGGCCGTATAACATTTTCCATACAATAGCCTGCTATGAACTGACAATTTTATCGCTCCTTCTATGTAATTCCTTGTTCTTATGGTAAACTCCAGTAAGGCATGATAGGGGAGAATAAATGCGGGTCCATTGGCCCATCGTGACGAATTCTACAGTGATTAATTGTTCCAGGTGGAACCGCGTGGAGGTCGACCGAACATACCCTATATTATTAGCAATTGGACTTTTAGACCTTATCATAAACTTTTCTTTATATATTGCTAGCAGTGGGTACTAGTGTCCCCATTATTAATAATCTACTATCCTCCATATAACGTACATTGTGTTGTTCCCAGCTGGTGGGGTCCCCATGCGGTCAACATGGGCAATACACCTTCTACAAGGCACTGCGGCTGACCGGACCCCGGGAGAGGATAGTCGCCATTGGGGACTTCTTCTTCGTTAGGATCTGGCAGGACTCCGAGCTGGTCTCCATTGGTGAGTTTTTTTATCATCATTCTAGCCATGATCTGTTCACTGCTGGACATAGGCCTCCCCCATAGACCGCCATAAGGAACGGTCTTCAGCCACCTGCATCTACTGACTCCCTGCAATGCATTTGAGGTCGTAACTCCATCTTATTGGAGATTGATGGCTAATATAGAAAGTTATACCAGAGGGAGACTTTGTACAAAAGTCGTTTGCTTGGACACTTCTGTCCCATTCGTGTTTCTACCGTGAAGCAGTTGTGTTTGCATGGCTGTGTTTCGGTTTGAAGGGTGGGATATGGCGTGAATTTACTGGGTACAGAGGAATAACACCTGAGTCCTCAGGAATGGCAACGCGTGGGGGGTATCATGGGCGAAACAGTATACTCTGTTATGTCCACGGTACTGCTCATGTCTATAGGCGACCGTTACTATTTTCCATCAGGTGGGCCGTCAGCTTGTTTGCCATTCTAAGTTGTATAAAAAAAATGGTTGTGGTGTGTATAAAAAAAAAGTAAGTAAGTGTGTAAGTTGTATAAAAAAAATACTTCTGGCAGTAACAGTGGTGGTCAGTCTCCGAGTGTTGGCAGTCGCACGCATACTAATGGTGGCGGAATTAAACGAGATAATTCTAAACAAATAACCAGTGGTATGGACATCACCAAGACAATACCAAGTTTAGATTTTTTTTTATATATTTATAATAGTTTTTGTCATCTTTATATCAGCCTTTAACTGTCCACTGCTGGACATAAGCCTCCCTTGGGGGGGTTTTGCCAGTAGTCGCCACGCTTGGCAAGCGGATTGGCAACCGCAGTTAGGCTTCAGAGATGTTTTAAGAGGGACGCTGCTGCTCGTCCCTCGCTTTCCCTTAGTCGTCTCTTACGACACCCACGGGAAAGGAATGGGATGGCCTATTCTATGCCAGGATCAAACGGACAATATAATAGTTAGGGGAGAAAGGGATTGTTAGTAATGGAGACTGAGAATCCCATTGCTAGCAATATATTTATTTTTATTTTTTATTTATTTTATTTATTCATAAACAAAAATTTGTATTTGAATGTTATACAATAATTTCATACACTATATAAAATATAAATTAAATCAAGCAATATACCCAACCAAGTCGACCTCCTCGCTATTCCTCTATCTAACTAACTATCATGGTTAATTCCTGATGAATTCATCATGATGGGCTAACTGGCCTGTTTTCATTCTCATCTATCACCCTTCACTGGTGCTCCGCCAGCGTATCCCGTTAGCGCAGGCGGGGTTACCATACCATTTTCACCCATCAAAAAAATATAGAGTATATAACAGTAATTTTAATGTTGCCTACCAAGTAAAATAAAGGGGGCAAGGGATTGTTAGTAACGGGGACTACTAGCCCCATTGCTAGCAATATACCCTGTCGGGTCTACCTCCCGTGGTTCCCTTGGAAACCATCGTGCTGAATGCCAGATGTGTCGATCACTATGGGCTAACTGACATGCCATGTCATCCTCACCTATCATGTGTCCCTAGTACTCCGCCAGTGTATACTGATAGCGCAGGCGGGGTTACCATTCCATTATCATCCATTAAAAAAGAAAATTAAGGAAATATGTTTTATCTTAGTAATCCGTATTGATATTTTTACATAAGCTTTGTATATATGTTTTTTTTTTTTATCATTTAAGAGTTTCCTCTTGTCGGTGCAACTAATTCATGCATCTTCCTCCAGCCAGCTCTGTCCCAGGCCATATCCTTTATCTCCCTATACGACATGACGCCTAGTGTTTCCTTTATCTGTCCCATGTAGTTATTCCTCGGTCTTCCTCTTCCTCTTTTGCCCTCCATCTTTCCTTCTACTATGCTCTTAAAAAAATCGTCATGTCGTATAAGGTGGCCCAGCATTTTGGCTCTTCTATTCTTTATTATTTCAACCAATGTTCTCTTCTCGTTCACTCTTTTTAGGACTTCCTCGTTCGTTAGTTTTTCTGTCCAACTTATCCTTTCCATTCTCCTCCATGTCCACATGTATATATGTACATATGTATAATTAAAATTAAGTAGCTTTATGCCCTCTATTCCGTTCGCATACGGAATCTGATAGAACCTGGTCAAAACATGGCGGAATATATTGCTAGCAATGGGGCTGGTAGTTCGCATCCCTCCCCCCTAGAAAAATAGGTTTTTTAATGGACAAATGTAACTCCTTCTGCGTTAACGGTATACGCTGGCGGGGTACCAGGGACACATGATTGATGAGAATGAAGTACTAGATCAGTTAGCCCATTGTGATGAATACACTTGGAATTCAGCACGATGGTTTCCAGATCACGTGGAGGTCTACCGGACAGGGTATATTGCTAGCAAGTGGAGTGGTAATCCGCATTACTAACAATCCCTTCCCCCCAGAAGAATAGGTTAATAATATTAGAAGTATGACAAATTGAGGATTCAAGGAGGAAGACAAATTCATTAGAAATTACCCACGCCTTGATATCGACCAGACAGGGTATGTTACTGGGAATGGGACGATAGTCCCCAATACTAATAATCGCCCTCCCTAAAGGTCCCCATTTGTTCTTGTATACCCACTTGTCCTATACATGTACACTGGCGGGGTACTAGGAAGGCATGATAGGTGAGGATGAAACTAACTCAGTCGTGACGAATTTATTAGGAAGGTGGAACCGCATTGGAGGCGACCAGAGTATGTTACTGACAATGGGGCCGCTTGTGCCCATTACTAAAAATTTAATTCTATCAGTGACTTCATTTACTTCTGTTCATTTCTATAGAGAGTAGTTACCATTGCCCATCAGTGAACCATTCCCTTCTGTGCTAACATAAAAAAATCTTGTCCACAGGCGAATTACAACTGCTATGGACCGACAGGGTCTCAGACCAGACCCTGGTGAGTCTCAGGCTGTACTTCCTGCCTGAGAACACGCCCGATGGTCGAGGTTTACACGGGGAGGTAAGTTATAAAGTAATTTTTCAACTATATTCCTAAATCATACTCGTGAACGGATATCGTTTGTTAAAAAATTGCGCGTCATATCAAAAGAGACTATATGGTATTAATTTTTTTTTTTATAATGAATTTATGAGATTGTTATGGCGCATGGTAAATGATTTTTTTACCAATCAGTGGAAGAGAAAGTACTAGGCGATCATAAATTGTAAGAAGATGTACAGTGAAGTAGAAATAGAATCAGCCCTCAATATTTTTGTAGTAATTTTGTTATATATGAAATGAAATGAAATGAAATATTTGAAATATTTATTTGCTTTAAACAGACATTTGACATTATAAGGGCCATGTGACACAACTTTTTGGCATCTGTCTAATTGACTTAAAATTGTAGGCATGCAAATCTAAATATAATAATAATAATAAATAGATTTATTTTCTCTTCACAATTCACAGTGAGATACAATGATAGATATGCTTATATTAAAGTAATCAAATTATAAATATAACTGTGAGAGACTGGTGCCTGAGATAGGTATAAGAATACCTGTATTGCAGGTCACCAGGGCCTCACTCCGCAGGGTTACTTACTAAGCACTTGTAATATAATAAGTGAATTCAATGTAATAAATATAATTTATAGGAAGAGATGATTAATTATAATTTAATCTGGAAGTTGTGTGTGCGCGCGCGTGTGTGCGTATGTGCGCGAGTATGTGTGCGTGTGTGTGTAGGTGCATGCGTGTCACTCGCTGTGTGTCTTTGTGTTTGTACGCGTTCATATAAAAAATTAAGGTCTTTAAGTTATTTTCTCACATCTGTGGCCCCCTGTAGCATCGTAGTCGAGTGTTTTCAACCAATTGGATGTGAGCTTTTGACAAGTGTACCTATGATGTCGGTAGATTGACAACTGAGCGTTGATTTTATTATATTTAAAAAAAAAAAAAACATTTTTTGAAAGCTTTAGTAGAACAAACAGAATTTTTACGACGTTTATTACTCTTCAAATTTGGATCAAACAGCATCTGTGAATGTTTTTTTAGTACAGTTGATGTTTGCCTGACTGTTAGCACGTCCATCTATATATCTGTGATGCATGGATGGATGTATGAGATGAGTTATTAAAATGTATGAAAGCATGAGTCGTGTATGTGAGGATAGAGGGACCTGTGACACAATTTTTCTCTGTCTACACGCCAAAAGGATTTGGCGTGAAGATAGAAGAAAAAAATAACTACACAAATCTCGAAACTGAGAAAACAGTACCAGGCGAACATGAATTCTTAGAAGATATTATTGAATTCAAATACAAACATATTTGAAATGGCGTAATAATAATAAGGCATGGAATTTGTAAAGCATGGGATTTCTTTCCCTCTGTCTACTCCCTATGGGGCCCGCCGTGAATATAATAAACTTCTTAATTAGTAATGCTTGCGCCTTCAAATAACAGGTATGAACATAAAAATCTATTATAGAAAACGTTTAAAACCAGCTCGCGTGGAAACCACAAAAATTGAGACCGCTCCATGCGTTCGTCCCGCTCGCACGTACTCTGTCGTATTCGCCGTCTCTATCTAATCCCTATTTGGTAACGCCAACTATTTCATGTATGAAATTACGATAAGTGTATGGTTTAAATGTTGAGAGGGAGCGGGTTTATTAAAAATTTATTTTATTGCTTTAATTTATTAATTACTAGGGTGTTTTTTTTTGGATGATAATGGAATGGTAACCCCGCCTGCGCTAACGATATACGCTGGCGGGGCACCAGTGAGGATGAAAAGGCAGGTCAGTTAGCCCATCAGAATGAATACACCTGGAAATCAGCACGACGGTTTCCAGGGGTACCACGTGGAGGTCGACCTGATGGGATATATGGCTAGGAATGTGATTAGTATTTCGCATTTCTAATAATCCCTTCCTTATATCCTCGGTCAACATTTTAGATAAAAATTAAAGAGTTCCCGTGGGATACTTAAAAAACTATAGTAACTTGTACAGCTTAGTACACGACCTACTTAAGTGAAGTCATTTCGAATTAAGGCAAAGAGTGAGAACGACACGTCCTTTGTTAATTTTGGTCCAGTATTCCCGGACATAATGAATAGGTAGGTGCATACATCGATATGTACAAAACAGGAATAAGAAATACCACGCGGACAATGTCGCGGGCATGAGCTAGTAACAAACAAATGCCATATTCATATTTACAATAGTATGCAAATATAGATTTAAAGACAAACATGCAAACACCTATCATCATCATCATCATGAAGTGATGGTGATGATGATATAAACACATTTGTAATATTAATAGGATACGACGTACGTACCTAAATGTTACTTACATATATAATTTAATGCATTGTATTATTTTTGTACCAAACACCTACCTATACACCGTGTCTACACACGATATTGAACTTTATGTCTGTGGCACAACGGTGAAATTACATTGTACTAGTGGTGGAGTAATTTTGTTGAACGCTATGGGATTTTTATAGAGCGAATGATATGATTTGATCATTGTAATATTTTTTTGTTTGTTTTATATATAGAATTTGTAAGTTTGGTTCGCCCTCGTAGCTTCTGAGCTATGACATTTTTTTTCTAATTTGTTCATTATATACAGTTATTTTAGACATAGTACATTTAAATAAATATACATAATGTTAACAGAGATTTAAAACTGAAAGTGTTGTGTTTCTTGCGGGTGCTTCTAAACAGATAACAACATTTCGAATCTTAAATCATATAAAATTATAAAAATGACGATCTAAAAGAGCTTATAACCAAATTTATTTAATTAAAGATTATTGTTATTCTATTACAAATAATAATACCAGATATTAAATTTAATCTTCTCTATATTACAAATGTAAAAATTTGTATCGATGGGTAGATGGATGTTTCTTACACTTTCATGCAAAAACTACTGTACGGATTTGAATGAATTTTGGTGTGTGTATATTTTAACTTGCATATACGTATGGTACTTTATATACTGACTAGCTTTTACCCGCGACATCGTTCGTGTGACTGGGATAAAAAGTAGTACTTCTCCGTTTCATATAGTACGTGTGTACCAAATTTCATAGCGATTGGTTAAGCCGATATAGTTCTTTAATTTTACAAACAAAGTCAATTTCACGTTTATAATATTAGTAAAGATTCATACGGGTGAAGCCGTGGGATACAGCTAGTAAGTAATAAATATAAAAGAAATAACCTCTGATTTTGTTATTTATTTATTTATAATAAAAATAATTATTATGAGAAAGTATCAAATTATGTTAAAATAGTACACAATACATTCATGCGACGCGTTGTGACGACTTTGGAATATAAAATGCATTTGAGTTGAATTCTAACTAAATATTTTTAATCGATTTTTTCTAGAGAGGTTCACAGTTCTTCTAATTTTTTTCTGTTACGCGATTACGTATAGGACCAGGTGGGTTGTGCCCACTCCAGAAGTGGCTGGTGCCCACCCCTGGAAGCTAGCGAAGTTTCCAAAACAGATTTTTGAGAGCACGTATCTGTTTTTTTAAGGGTTCATGATGACCTTGCCTGTGCTATCGGTATACACTGATATACCAGGGACACATGATAGGTGAGGATGTATGAGGCAACCGGCTGGAGGTCGAGTTAATATTGTTAGCAATGGGATTCTTAGACCACCGTTATTAATAATCTCTTTTTCCCCAATCTATGAGTTTTTTTTAATGGGTGATAATGAAACAGTAGCTCCGCCTACGCTATCGGTATACGATAGCGGAGTACCACGGAGGCATGATAGGTGAGGATGAAAGCAGGTCAGTTGGTCCAACGTGACAAATTCAACAAGAATTAACCATGTTGGTTTCCAGGCATAGTGTTTAGTAAACTGTATTGTAAAGATTTTGGATAATAAAAACACTGTATAATTATTAAAATGAATGTATTTAAAATGTATTTAAGGAGCCGTCACTGTTATAAATTCACAAACCAGAGAGAATAAAAAAAGTTACGTCATTGGCACATAGCCTCGTGGAGGTCGATCTAATAGGGTATATTGTTAGCAATGGGGATTCTTAGACCCCATTACTAACAATCCTTTTCCCCCCAAATCTTTAAGGTTTATTTCTCTGTTGGATTAATATTAATTTTATCATGACTGAATTAGTTTTTTGTTTTAAAATCTTAAATTACATAAAAAATGGGACACAGCGTCCTTACAATACTCATCGAACGACCATTTCCTTTATTGTCCCGACCGAGTATCGAACCCAGAACCTTAATTTTACGAAATTTAAAACCAGTGCGTTATGGAAGTGTTCAGCGTGTCATTGATTTTGTAAATTAACCTTAATCTCGCCCGACCTTTAACACGTTATCATTGTACTTTGAAATAATTCAACATCATTAAATATAGCTCGTGAAACAACAAGCGAACCCGGTAATATTGACTTGTTTATAACTTTATATACGGTTTAACTAAAAACTTGGTATATATATACTTTGCTCTTTTGAGGGCGAAGCAATAAACTGAGTTGTGGCCATTTTGTATTGCTATGGCACACTCACAAACGAAAGTTGCATTTGGTTTTGTGTATTTTTTGTCATTTATGTTATCTCGCTTTATTTTTGTGTATATATGTTGTAATTTGTGTGCTGTAAGTAATGCAAATAAAATTATCTATCTATCTATCTATATAAATATCTTTATTCATAAAAATACGTCCTATAAACTTATTTTAATTATAAGAGTCTTTTGTCTCCGTCTTTCAAATTGGAAAATTAGCGCTAAAGAAAGAGACAAAACACTGCAACAATAATAAAATGAGTCTGAATTTTGACATTTTTATGAATACTCTTAATTCATTATTATTTATATATATCACTAGCTGTTGCCCGCGACTTCGTCTGCGTTTCCGTTGTTTTTCGTAAGATAAGTAACCTATGTCCTTTTTCACGGTTCAGTGGTTTTGATGTAACAGACACATTTCCCTTCACTGCTC